AATAACTTACGATCACCAGTCATCTGTGTACTTGGACACGTTGATACAGGAAAAACGAAGATGTTAGATACGGTACTTCACTTCTTTCTGAAATTGTATTCTGCTATTTTTTTTTAACAAAGTCAGTTAATATCTCACATCTGCTTTTTATTTTAATAGATACGACGTACAAATGTACAAGATGGAGAAGCTGGTGGAATAACGCAACAAATCGGTGCTACTCAAGTGCCGGCTGCTGCAATTATGGAACGAACTAAAATGGTTCGAGATGTGAGGATTTATTTTTTTAATTCAGATTTTATTATTTCCACTTAAATTTTTCTTTAATTTTGCGTGTTTTGCACATTTCCTTCACAGCTTTTTTTCTTTCAGTTCAGCGGTAGTGAAATGAAAATTCCTGGACTCTTGATAATTGACACTCCTGGTCACGAAAGTTTTTCGTAAGTTCTTTTACCTCTGAAAGTTTTTGTTTTTGGAAAGTGTCATGATAATGAAATTTTGTGCAAAATCCAGTCTAAACATCTTATTCCGGTAGTGGGCTGACAATATTCCACTGGACAAAAATTATCAGAAGCAGAAAAACTGAAGTAGTTGTATCTAACGTGAGATAACTTTCATTCTGTCCGGGAACATTTATCCAGTAGGCAGTCAGCATTGCAAGCATCTTATTTTGCTGTTTTGATACAATGAATTGAAAGGATCCTCAGTACTGTTCTCAGTATAACTGCGCTAACTCGCTCATACAGAAGATTCAATTGACTATTGTATAGGAGATTTGGAATGAGAGGTAGAATTTTATTAATTAATGAGAATAAAACAAAAGCCAGCTATTGTTGAAGCGATAGACTATGGGAAAGATGCATTTTATAACTTCCATGCTGTACTGAGAACATTCAAATTATGAAATTCATTAAAATCTTAATCTATTGAGTGCCCGGTCTTAGTTTTGTAGAAATTTGCGGTCTCGTGGTTCTTCATTATGTGATTATGCAATTTTGGTTGTTGATCTAATGCACGGACTTGAACAACAGACACTGGAGTCATTTAATTTGCTAAGAAAAAGGCAAACTCCATTTGTGATAGCATTAAATAAGGTAATTTTTAGTATAATTTTTTACAGTTCCATATTACTATAATTTTTGCTTTTTATGATTGCTGTATTTATTGCCTTTAGATCGATCGTTTATACAATTACGAGTCGAATCCACGGAAAGATATTTATCAGCATTTGAAATCACAACCACTCAATACTCAGCTGCAATTCAAAGAACTTAAAGATAAAATTGTATTGCAGTTCGCTGAACAGGTATATTTATTAAAAGAGAGGCGAAATTTGGACAGAGATGGTCAAGCAAAGGATAGCATAGCTGTTTCAGTTCGAAAAAAAAAATGAAAAAAATGCTTTGAGAATTAGGAAGTTCCGATTACTGGTTATAGATGGAACTCGAACACTTTTTCTTGAAGTTTTTTCTTTCTTTGCCAAATTAACAAAAAAAATTATGAAGTGGTATGAGTTATTATAAAATTTATATCTTGTGACGCCATTCTTTTTCAAGGGAGTGAACGTTGTTATGGCAAATGAAAATCCAGATTTGGACGAATATATTAGTATGATTCCGACTTCTGCATTTCTTGGTGATGGTATTGGTAATATTATGGCACATATTGTTAGTGATTCACAGAATAGGCTAGCTGAGAAGTTAGCTTATTGCGAAGAGCTTGACTGTACGGTCATGGAGGTAAGGGAAATAAGTATAATTATTCTTTAATCTTTGTTTAGTATATATTTAAAGTTTATCCAGTAAAATGTCGAAAAATTTTTTCCCAGGTCAAATCTCTTCCCGGATTAGGAACTACAATAGATGTTATATTGGTCAATGGTTCGTTAAGAGTTGGGGATGTTATTGTTCTTACGGGTACTGATGGGGCCATCATCACTCAGATTCGAGAGCTGTTAATGCCGCAGCCTTTGAAAGAATTGAGAGTCAAGGTTTAATTAGTTCTTCGTTTTGAAAATTGTAGTTTCAGAAACTGTTGTAGTTGTATTTGACAATATTTTTGTATGAAAGTAGTTTTGAATCACTTATGTTTGGTGATAGATGTGAGATTTGTTGAAGTTAAGGATATTTTTCATACTGGTGTGTACTCAACGTATAATATCGTCATATTTTTAGAATGCATATGAGCATTATCAAATGATAAAAGGTGCACAAGGAGTCAAAGTACTTGCAAAAAATTTGGAAAAAGCACTTGCTGGCTTATCAGTGTTTGTTGCAAATCGAGAAGATGAACTTCTCGTACTCAAGTATGCTTTTCATTTGTGAAATGATGAGATCTCATTTCTGTTCTGGAAGTTTTTTACTTTTAAAAGTTTAAGAATTTAAGCAAATATATTGTATTTCAGAGAGGACTGTGAGGCACAGTTATGTAAAGCTCTTATGGCTATCAAGAAGAAACCTGAAGGTGTGTATGTCCAAGCTAGTACACTCGGCTCATTGGAAGCTTTGTTAGAATTCCTGAGGGTATATTTATCCTTCTAGCATTTTTTTATAATTATTCATTTCAAAGGCAAGTTTTTATGAAATGCAAAAATATTTTTAGACTCAAAAAATACCTTATTCAAACGTGAATATCGGTCCGGTACATAAAAAAGATGTGCAGAAAGCAGCAGCAATGCTAGAAAGGAAAGAAGAGTATGCTTGCATACTTGCATTCGATGTTCGTGTTGACCGTGAGGTGGAACAGTTTGCAGTTAGTGAAGGTGTTCGCATTTTCTCCGCTGACATTATATACCACCTGGAGGATAGTTTCTTGAAATATAGGTATATGATTTTCATTCTATAGAAATTAGAAATGATACAACATGGATATCCGGAAAATGATATTAATCCAAAGTATTCCATAAAAGAATATGTCGAATTTTCCTGAGAAAATTGAGAGTTAATAAAAAAAAAAGGGAAATTGGAAGGAAAAACTTATCACCAGTTCACCAATTATTTTCACAGATCTGTATTTCTCAAAACATGTGATATGTGGCATAATCCAGGTATTTATCCGTAGTTGTGATCCATTGGACATGGAAATCATTTTTTTAAACGCGAATCTAAAGAGGCATCAGAAATATATCCACAAAGTAAAGGGGAAATTTATTATTTTCAAATTTCAGGGAAGAGTTGAGACTTAAACGCCGACGGCAGAACGAACATTTAGCAATTTTTCCATGCAAGTTGAGAATTCTTCCGCAGCACATATTTAATGCTCGTAATCCCATTATAATTGGTGTATCTGTTGAAGCTGGTCAACTTAAACGAGGTGTTCCATTATGTGTTCCCTCTAAAGACGTAAGTTCTCATGAATTTCAAAGCTGTTCTTAATGAGTTGGTCTGCCAAAAGAGAATGAAATCATGTTTTTTTTTTTTCAGTTATTTCTTGGTTGATTTTAATTTCAGTCTATTTTCATCGGTACTGTATCAAGTATTGAACGAAATCATGAACAAGTGGAAATAGCTCGTACGGGGGAAGAAGTTTGCATAAAAATAGAGAACACAACTGGTGAAGCACCTAAACTTTATGGACGACATTTCACGCATCAAGATACATTAGTTAGCCGGGTAAGTTTCTACAAATGTTAAAAAAGTAGGAAAAGTAATTATTTTATTGTTCGACATTTATAAAAAAAAAAATTAATTTTAATATTATCAGTGTTATTAGTTATTAATTGGCATGCGTTGAAGTGTTGAATCACATCTGAAATTTCAAAGCATTTGATCGGCCTGAGAAATTGAACTAATTTTTAATAATTATAATAGTAACAAGATCTTCAGCAATTGAGTAACGATGAAAGTGAGATTATATTAAGCTATTTCTTTAATTCAGATAACACGTGAAACAATAGATGTTTGCAAAGCACATTTTCGAAATGATTTATCAAAAGCGGATTGGCAGTTGGTTGTTCAGCTGAAGAAAGTCCTTGATATAATTTGATTGTTATTTTTACTGGCCAAACTAAAATGTATTATAACAGATTCATTGACGGCTTTTTCTGTTTCCTATCTTCACATTCTGTTTTTTTAACTTATCTTTAATTTCATCTGTTATACGATAACTTGTTATAATTGGTAACATACAAAGGAAATAAATTATTTTTCGACATATTAATTGTTCTACTTTTAAAATGAGTTTTTAAAAATATCTAGACTTTTAAATTGAATTACATAGATACTGTTTTCTTGACACGAAAGAATTATCAGTAAAAAGTGTAGAAAATTCGTCATTTGTTAGTGCTCCCAGTTATTGTATTGGAGTTGGATTTTGAGTGTTTTTTTTGAGTGAATTCGTAGTGATTCAGTAACCTTGCAACAGACAGAAACATGATGAAATATTATGTTTTGCAGTAGTTGGATAGTAAATTCTGAAAACCAGAATCGATGTTGGAAACGCTCATTCCTTCAAACATGGGTAAATTCCTCGCCCTTTTTGTTTGCAATTTGTTGTAATAAGTTTGCTCTGCTTTTTTGAGTGAGATAATTCGTAGTGGTTAGTATCTTTGCAACAGACAAAAAGCGACGATGATCGGAAATCGGTCAGTGCCTTCCTTTACAAGTAGGTCAAAGAAGATACATTCAGCGGATGTTACAAATTGCGCGTATTGCCAACTCCTGAAGAAAACATTTTTAATCTTTGGTGGAGATTTTCATATTCTGGACTTAGGTGATGCATCTTAATACTGGCGGTATTCTACATTCTGTTACTTTTCCTCAAATAAATAAATATGATTTCTTGGGAATCATCATAGATGTTTTAGATCCTATTACCAAAACAATATGTTGAGAGTTAATTCAGATGCCTAGAATTGTTCTTCCGGTTGTCATATTTGTAAATTTATTTTTGTTACTGCTGAAAAGATGGGATATAATTCAATTGATTGTTCCTTAATCTTCCTCCTAAATTAATCAAAAAACAAAAGACTAATGAGCAAAATTTGTTTTTCTAGTCGATTTATGTTTGTGGTACCAATGATGTGGTTTCATACTCTCTTCATTTCTAAGCTTTTTCCAAAGTACAAGGAATATTTATCTTGGTCAAACTTGTCGCTACGACTCTCTCTTGCAGCAGTACTTAACCTAGCAATATCTGCGTTAGTTTTCCAGACTTCAAATATTGGATATTTCGAAAAGGTTACACATTTCTCATGTAAATTTTCTTTTCTTCCATATGAATATTTCGAGACGATTTTAAAATGATATCAAAGGAATTTTTGTAATATTGGGACAAAACAGTCCAACAAGCTTGAAATTTATTTTCAAATTTTGTTACTTACAAAAAAATGATTTATTCCGTTTTATTATTTCAGTTCCTATGCTATGCAAAAGAATGTATAAAATTAAGAAAGATGTATGAACTTTGGCCACCTCATCGTCATGCAGTCTTATACCTCATCTATTCTGCTTTAGTTCATTGCGCTATCAGGTAAATTACGCATATTTTATAGTGATGAGAGTGAGAAAGACTTCGATGTCGGTCGTCGTTTTATTCATCTAATAAATTGTCTCGATAGAACTCTCCGAAAGTGCTTAGAGGCGCAAGGGGAATTATTGATTATATTCTGTTCTGGGAAGTTACTATTTATAGGAAAGGATAGGAGATGGTAATGTGCAAAAAGATAACATTGTAAAAGGAAGTGAAACATTTGAAAGAAAATTAGGAAGTCATTTCAATTGCTATGTTTCGCTTAACCTAATCTCGTCTGCACGCAGATATTGTCTACATGTCACGGAGGATGGCAAAAAGAACGAACTTCGACCTTTTTATCGGAAATATCTCCACTCAGTTCTACTTTCCACTCTCATCTTTATGCTAACATTACATGTACAACGAATCAATGAGCTTCATTTTGCCATCATTGTCCTCAATTATGTGCACACATTGGTTGCTGGCGCTGTTGTTACCTTTATATGTAGTTAGTATTAGGTCCCTTCTGCTATTTCATTATTCGGCTAGAAATGCTCTTTTGCATCCAAGTGATATGTCGAGATGATATTTAAAACTAACCTAGTCATATCATATTGTTTTCACTTACCCGTATAACTTCTTAATAATTTGTATGGAATATGTATTTCCCCATAATTAAAGTCATAAATTTATCTTCTGTGTCGCCTAATAGCTAGATGTAATTAGGTATTGCTAAAGATATGAATGAGCAACTCAACATGATACAACGTCTCAGTGTTACTGGAAACGAAAGCAGTTTATTTTAATTACCAAATCATCCTTATGAATTTGGAAAATTCCTCAAATTTGTAAAGAATTTGTTGAAGTAAAAAAGAGAGATATGGCAATCATCTAACTTTTGTTGCTGAGAAAACTGACAAGTTGTAAATAAATCTGTATCACAGCGTGTATTTATATTGATGAGTTCATGACATTGACGTGTCGAACATTCAGTAATATCCAGGAAATATGCCATTTTAACATTTTGCAATATAATGATTCGCGGTTAATGTTTTCTAACTTCTGGCTTTAACATTTCATATTTACACATAACATCCGCTGAATTTATTCATAAATTTTACTTCTCATCGATAAGACACAAACTAAGCTGCCAAGTCAGCCAAGGATCATAGATTTATGCTATGCTAGGATTTCACTACTTCCCTTTACAGTTTAAGTAAAGCTTCAAAATCGGCTTCATATACATTATTTTATTTGCGTTATTTACTGACTTATTTTGCTGGAGACTCGTTTGCAATTTTAGCAAGTTGTTCAGGTGTCATATCAGGACATGATTCGTATCCCCCATCTTCCTCTTCACCACCTCCAACCATAGCACCAGCGGTATTAGTCTCTTTCTTCGGTGCATTCTGCAATCTCGACAAATCAGAATTTTTCAGCTGATTGAAATACGACAAAACATTCTCCCTGATTTTTTCCGCATCCATTTTTTCGTAATGAACTATTTATAAGTTACTTCAATTCCTGTGACCTATTTTGGATATATTTGTTATAACAAAAAATTATAGAAATGATTTTTTCTCTAAATTTAAAAAAAAAAAAAAAAAACTAAAGAAAAGAAAAACCAATATTTACTTATTTGGTTTCTGAAAATCGATTTACATACATTGGTTATATTAACTGTAGAGGTAACGTTTGTTCGTGTACTCACTGTATACTACTTTCAGATAGTTGAATGAAACCTTTTCTGCGGGCACAACAGGAGGAGGTACTGTTGCGGGTGTTGTTGACCTTGGCGTTGTTACTGGTTGCCCTTGACCTGCTGACGTAGTCCTTTTCCCTCCTCTTTCTCCGCCTACTTCAGGTTCTGCTTTTTTGGAAGCTAAAGAATTTGCATATGTGCTTGGAAAGTGATGTACTTGCTATAAATTTAATGATTACTGAAAAAAATTCCGAGTGGCTTACAGCGTGTTCTCCACTTCACTGCTTTTGATGTTATAAAAAAACCCGTGGTCTCCCTTACTAATGTACTATTTTGATTTCTCCTTTTAACGCTGTAAGGACATTTCATCAGTATAAATTCATTTTATCAGGTTAACTTGATAAGTCGCACAGCCATAAAATATTCAGAACACCTTGCTCTGTTTTGATGGATCATTTTATGTATTTACTTCAAGGTTTTGAAGAAAATTACAATTTTCAAGCGCTAAAGATGTTTTTTTTTTTTTTTTTTTTTTTTCTTTTTTCTAAAATGATTTGAAAATGTAGCTCCAGTATTGCTTAATTATTCAAAATGTGTCTATCAGATGAACTTACAACAACCGATAATAAGGAATGAGAAAATGAAGATAGGAATTGTTGGAAGAATGCACGCAATCGTCATCAGCGGTAGCATTCTTGCTATAAAATGAGGCAGTAATGCATATACATCGCATATAATTATGAACACACTTCGACAGAAGTGCTCTCTTAATTTACGAAAAAATGAAACATACATCAACAACCCAGAGATATGGATAATCTAGGCGGAACACCATACTTATTTGAAGTGACTTTATGAAATACTGGCTTAATTCTATTGGTTGGAAAAGAAGCAGATCTTTTTCAGTGCTGCGGGAGGTACTGTATAACCCGGTTACAAGACAGATTATTGTAGACATTTTCGCTTAATTTCATCAGGAACACATCATTTTAACGACCAACTGAATACATAGTTCGGAAAATGTCCCACTCACTGACTGCTTCAAGCCGCCGGACGACAAAAAGTAAAGAGTAAATAATGAATATATTGCTTTGCAGGTCCATATAAAAACAGAACTATTCTAAAGTGTCTAAAATTTAATGAGTATAATCAATTACTTGCTAATCACATCACAATAACACTGCAGATACAAAAGTACGAAATATACAAATAAATTAATCACATAGAGAACTTATTAATCCTAATAAAATGAATTCTAATCTTCTCTCCCTATTTTTTTAAAGGTATTCCCTAATAATTTCTCGTTGTCATGCAATAATCAACGATTACTGATTCCAAGAATCTTAAAAAAAAAATTCGTCATGAAATAGATAACCTCATTTTTAAATTTTTGGTGTAAAATACATTGCTTTTAACTTTCATATAGATCCTTCCATTAAATAAATCAAAGAATTTACAAAACATAGGAAAGAAACAGGAAAACAATAGCATCGCAAGCTCCCAATCACAAAAAATTAAAGCTTCCAATCTTTTGTACATAAGAAAACCAAAATGAACCAAATTTTTGCAATTACTAAAATCATTGACCTGTAAAAACTTTCTCAATCCACAACCTTATCTCGAACTGCAATGAGGCATCAAATTGAAGTCAATTTCTTGAAATCGCTTTTTGTAAGCAGTCAATACCACAATCATCTGCAGTATCTTCCAACCTGACATTTTCATGCTCATCATTTTTCTGTTGCTTCAGCTCTGCTATGTCATGTATTTCAGCAGTTTCTGGCCAATTTTGAAGTGAGATCACGGCAAATCTTAACAACATTTTATCATGCAAGCAAAATACTGGCAAAAACCCCTCCTGAGAATGAAAAAAAAACGAAGAAAAAAAAAAAAAAAAACCTATTATATGTTTGCATAATTTCTTTCAACTATTTGAAGCTAGACTGAGTTACTGTCAATTTCCTTACAGCAACCGCTGTGCCATTTTTTTATCCTATTCATTAGGTGAGAAATAAATAAAGATTCAGCACCTTTGACGTCGTGCCAAATCTTCAACTGACAAAGCTCCATAACTATTCAGCAATGGCCACAAGCACGCATCCCAATTTTTGTTCCACGATATTAAAGGGTTGGAATGAACATTTAATGTCAGTGTGTTCAACTGCTGTAACATGCAGAACATGTAAATCTGATAATATTATAAATAAAACATACTGAAGAATAGGATTCCTAACTGTTCTAATCTTTTATTGTACTAATAATGATTTCAATTTTTAGTATGGATTAAAACTAACACTGCAATGAACAGGGAAACCACATGACAACGTTTTAATGATATGTGAAAGTTCATGCGAAGTGTCGAATAGCCTGCCATTATGGCCATCAGAAATAAGCTCACCAATGCAACCAAATCGTTTGGCAATGACAGGTAAACCACATCCAAGCATATCCACTACCTTCATTGGTAGATCCAAACCTTAATCATATAAGGCCCCAACAATGAAAATATGAACAGCAGATATTTTTTAATGAAACGAATGTATGTTTAAAATTAAGGAGGTTTTGTAAATGGAAGCTGTCAAATCAAACGAACTTATAACCTGATGTAGAAGTATGCAGAGAGACGCCAATATCGGCACAACCAATCAAAAACGGATAATCTTCTGCTTTTAACCATGGTGTTAATATTTCAACATTTTGCATTTGCATATGCTCAATGCGACCCAAATAATACGACCGCAAAGGTCCACGTCCCGTAATTATACATGTTATGAATGGCAGTCGAGTTGCTGGATTCCTAATGAGACATATGAAAAGTAATATTCGAAAAAAGATAATATACAGAAAAAAAATGAGTTAATTTATGAAAACGTACGTTCTCGAAGAGAGCTTAGCAATATTATCAAATTCACGAAGAGCATCAAGTAGAAGTCCAAAATCTTCATCTTCTGTCCAACTTGTTGACGAAACAAGAAGTAAAGGGCGATCATTTCGGAGCTGGACTTTACCTTCATTGTCACGGTAAGAGATAAGCGTTTCTGGAAGCAAACAGTAGTATGTTTCTTGCTGCTGCATTCGAAATCCAAATATTTGTAAATAAAATCAAGTATATACAAAAAGTAACCTTCCATGGAAATGCAATCTATCTGTAAGCATGGGTTATTAACAGCTTTAAAAACTTCGAATTCACCACCGTAATCGATTAATTTCAAAAGGAATTTATGTCGCTCTTCATCAGTCAATTTCCGAAAGCTCCAAGCTGGAGGCCGATCATATACTGTAGCCGCACTAATGTCCCATGCATCGAACATATCTTGGCGCATAGCATGAGTTACACAAATGTTCAAATCAGCACAGCGACCAAAATAACCTTCCCAATAATATATCTGCTCAACACATCTGAAAAATATTTTCAGAAATAATGAAAAAATAAAAACCTACTATATTATAGGTAACACCTACATCCTATAAACTATGAATCAAAATTATTCACTTCTTTCGCTGGAATCTAACCTCTGCACGATTGAACATCTTTTCTTCCGATCAGCTTGGCGTTTTCTTTTATTTGCTGCAACTGCTGCAGCCTGAACAGCTCGTTCTACTCGTGTCATTCTTTTTCCACGCATGCCGGAAACATCATTTACCACTAAAATATAGACAGAAATTCAGATCTATGCCACATTTTCAAAATTCTCAAATGAGCAATTATGGATTCAAGAAGTCTCAACAAAACGCTATCAAAAACGACAATACCTAAGCTATGATCGTCAGAACAATTTAGAGAATTCTGTATTCGTCGCTCAGAGGCACGACTAACGCGTATTTCATCGATATTATATTTTTTGCGTAATACGGAATAGGTATAATTATGCCAGTCAATGATAAACTGTGCTCTTCTAATACGAGCACACTGAAATTTAATATGTTAAAAAGTATTATCAAAGATAGCTTTATACGAAATAGACAGAAAAGGATGAAACAAAATGTATAAAATACCACATTAATTTTTGGTGATCTTTCGTATAATTAAGAAGTAAAAGAAACAACCAGCCAGCAAGCAAGAAGAGACGGTAGTCCAGGAGGATTTTGCACCATAATCAACAGAGGCCAATCAATTCGAAAAAACAGCGTTAGCAACAGAACAGTCAAAGTCCATAAAAATTTTAGTATCAAAGCAAAGATAGGACGCAGTTTACAGATATATTCTGGGGGACATCTCAGTGATACAACACTGCAAAAATTTTTCTGTACTTCGAAGTACAGAAAAACTGATGGATCCTAAACAATCCAGGATATTTAAGTAAACTGAGCAGTAAAAACCTTGATTTACATCGAAAAAAAAAACGAAATGATCTATCCCTATAACAAACATTAAAAGAAAACGTTCATATTTCGCCAGATGATATCGAAAAGCATAATGTTATTATCTGACAACATGCAACTGGATTATTAATCTTAATACAAGTAAATCAGAATACCTAATATATGGATGGTGCTGTATGGACTGATGTATCGCTGAATCCGTATAGCCCACTATTTGCACTCGATAATTTTTATCTGCCAACGATCTAGCATGATAACACATTCGTGGACTTCGACCAATATCTCCAATAACCACCAATGTTGCATTTTTTCCCCGGAGTACCATTCTATCCACAAACTATCTACAACACATTACTGCACAAAATAGCGACATCAGAAACTGGGCGAAACAAATTTCGTGTGAATCCTTTACCCAACAATGTTTGAGTTTGCCTACTGTATCGTCATCTTCAACAACACTGTTTGGATCATGTATCCTAAGCTTTCAAAAACAACTACACTACTAACACGATCCTTCCATGTTATCAATATATATCAAATATGTTTACGAAAAGATTATGTCGTCCTCCACCACCTGAAATAAACACTGAAATAAACACTAATGATTAGAAAAACCACAAAATATCTTTTTAGCAACCACAACTTTTACAAAATATACAGAACCAGGATATACTTAATTTAAAAATTTTATGACCACAGTAAATTCATCAAATAATACCGAACACGCAACGGCATCTCAATTATTCTTACAGTTCGTAGTTTCATAGTAAAATCGGACGTTAATTTGATGCAATTTTTCATTTAACCATCCTTAGCTAGTATATAATTATATGCTATAAATAGCTACACTGTACACTGTTAAAAATCATTGTTATGTTTAATGACAGTAAATAATTTCACCATGTACAAGACATACTTTGAAAGCCATCACAAGGAAATTAAACTACATTAAAAATATCAAAACCACGATAAACAGTTCAATGAATTTACTTATTTCTTCATATGCACAAATCTGTTAGTTGATTGATTGAAATAAAAACTACTGACAGTAATAAAAAACAGACGAAAATAAAACACATTACAAAGAAATCTTTTACAAAATTTACTCGTTATTATATTTACAAATAAGAAACTTCTACTTACTGAACATGAACAAATAGATAAAAACAAAAAATCCGCTTATCTTATATTTTATCTAAAACTATTTCGTATGAAGACGTCTGGCATTCACACCAATAATTTAGTTTCTACATCAAGAACATTTCCAGTGACAGGAAAATTATTAAATAAATGGAATTCGAACAATGAAATACTTGAAAAAGAGATTAATATGCTACATAAAATATGTGGCATAAAAAAAAAAAAATCAATAACATTTCGCTTTCAGTCCACAACAGCATTAAATTCTGCAGTGAGTGAACTTAAATTTTGTAAAACAGTTTCTGTTGGAATTTCTGAAATCAATAAGTATAACAATCATAATCATGAATTCAAATTGTGAACATCTTTAATGAAAAAGATCAGAATGCTTACAAATTAATTCTTATATACACGTTTCTTTTGAAAAAAAAATACTGTGTCTCAAAACAGAATTTTTAACGAAAATTGAAAATATGAAGCAACATCCTTAAAATTAAAAACAAATTGCACCAACAGTCTATTAAATTCATTTTCGTATTATAACAGGTGCTTACTTGATAATCTCGGTGGAGAAACTGATTGAGCTTCTACATTTTCCAAAGGAGATGAATCATCTTCAGTTTCATCATTGTTTTTTGTACTCCAATTCTGTCGTTTCAACTTTCTTTCTTCAACCGTGGCCTTAAAAATACTCATTTGCTTTTATATTCTTCAACAACAAATTTCTCGTTAGTAGAACCATTAAATATTTTTTTGTTACTAATAAGAACATGTAAATAGTACAGCAATAATGTCAACTTGATGAAGAACAGACCATCAAAGACTTGATTCCTTCCTTCTCGGTATCTTGCTCACCGACATCAAATACCTTAGTCAATTCTGCTAGTTCCTCAGCCGCTGTCATAATTTCTGCATCCTATAAAAGCCTCATCTTTCATCAAAATGGAACATATACATACAAAAAAAACTTCAAAATAACTTCTTACATCTTCCTTGCCTTCATTCAATGTGACTGACAAATCTCGGATTTCAGGTTTAATTCCCTCTGTAGAATTCACAGGTTCGACAACAGCACTTCTGTGGGATTCTGAAATGGTTACAATTGTACATATGAAATCTGAAAGTGATTTAAAACCACCAAAAGTGAACTGTTAAGAAAAGTCATGCCTGATGGAGAAACTGAACATTTGATGGGTAAAGAAAGCAAAGGTACCGCTGCATTTGCATCATGTTCATTTCCTGAGGTATTTTGCTGAAATAATTTCAAAACTATGTAATCTTGTTGAATTTAAACTGCTTAAAATTTCACCTAAAGTAAAAAATATGCAAGCTTAAAAATAACCATCGCAATATCAACATCACAAGATGATGGAATGGAATTTCGTTCACGATTCAGTAGAGGGACATACTGTGAGCTTCCAACAAGACCCACTGGAGAAGACATTTTCCGACAACCTGACGGAGAAATATTCATGCTGATATTAAAACCTTGCTTCTAAAAGTTAGATTATTAGTTGAACAAAAAATCCAAATTCTTTATAACTTGCTATCCAGATAAGTTTACAAAAAAAAGAAAAAAATTGAAATCTTTATAAATTGCTATCTAAATAATAAGTTCATAAAAAAATGCAACATGATTTTTTCTTCAAGTTTCACTTGGACATGCCTCAGTAATTCGTGTTGGCTGAATAATAGAAAGTTCTCTGCTTTTTTCATCATTTTTAGTCGTAGCAGGAGACCATCTTGATAATCCTACAATTACAGCGAAAATTTCTGTTTAGATCAGTTAAAATTTAACATAACCAAAGAAAATGGTATTCAGAGAATGGTTAATAACAAAGAGAAGCCAATAAATTACCCCCTGCTATAATTAAGATAGCAAGATATAAGATGGTTGACATGAAAGTGGATAATGAAGATTCAGCAGTGGTGAATAACTAGAACCTTCTGCAGATGGAAGACGAGGATCACCAGGTACTGAATAATTATGTCGAATGACAGGTGGCATTTCCTTAGATCCAGATAGAGCGAATGACTGTTGGAAAATACCGGTCACATCCATAGAATTAAATTTACGATGCGTTTCTGGACGCCAAGAAGTCGAATAGTCATTTTTCTTTGTGTCACAGTCACTTGCACGTCTTTTTCCTCTGCATCCAGTTAACCTAGAGCCTTACAAAATCAATTTTTCCACATCAACTACCACGTGTCTAATTTGAAGCCTTCTTGAATATTTTTGAATGACGGAAAATAAGAAGATATATATTATAAATCAGTAAAATGTAAAGAGCAACTTTTCTTAAATCAGAATTTCTGGAAGTAAATTTTGAATAAAATTCTTTAATTCCTTATATCTTCTCTCAACCCTTAAAAGTTTTAAACCATTAACTGCAAGATTTATCTGAAAAAAATTCTACCAGCAATCAGTAGCCGGAAAGGAATCAGTATATCGCCGTTTGAAAGTATTGCCTGGATATCGATATGAATTACGACTAAGTTTCGAAGCACTGAAAACTGTTACAATGCCGAGTTTTTAAAATTAAGAATAAATTTTAAGTGTAAAAAGAGATTGAAAGTGATTAAAAACAGAGTCGTATATGAGATTTCCATCATAGTATTTTTCATTTCGAGAGGATGAATAAAATACCAACATGTTCGTTCTTCTAATACATGGACCAGGTCGTACCAGAGGTGATCGATATTGCAACTCTGGATATTCTTCCTTCATAACATGGCGATTTTCACGCTGATTATCTTTGTTTCGATCGCAATAAGATCGAGCTGATTCTATAACCATGTACAATATTATGAAAATATGTACAATATTATTACGAAAAAGAAAAACGGCTTCCACATGCAGTCAAAATTTACTAGTAAAGGAATATAGACCTTTACTTCACTCACTATATTTATTAAATCACAATTAGTCAGAGCTCTAGCAATACCAATCTATATATATCAAGACAGACCACTATGATAAAAGCTCCTTTCATTATCAATATGTGTAGTAGTTGCAGCTCTGCTTTCATATTCTGCTGATTTACTATCATTTGAAGGTCCAGGTGCCGATATAACATTCGTCGACCACGACTTATCCGAAGTTTTTTCAGATACTGTTTCCATTTTTTCAGATGCAGCTTTCACATCTTTATACAGCTGAGGTTGAAGACGGAACTTTTGGCTCGGTGGTACCTTTGCCATCTAAAATATGCATATTGTATATAATCTTATTTAAATGTAGTACTATTTGCGAATAATAAAATTAATTAAAATAGTGAATTATGCAAGAGATAAGTGCTTACATCAGGTGTGCGTCTATAAGCAGAAGGTAATTGTTTGTGTCCCAAAGGAGTAACAGAAGCCAAAGGATCGTAACCATATGGGTTAGGTGCTTGAGGTGCATCAGCCGGCATGATAGCTGGCGGAATGCCACCCACAATTAATGGTCCATCAGGTTTATGATAATCCGGCTTCTTGTTGCTTTTAACTTTTGACTTGGGTGGTTTAGGTCTCGTAAACTGTTGTGTTTCGATGACTGGAAAAATCGACATATTTTGTGATTAATGTAAAATCAGTAAGAAGTCTGAAAGCAAACCTTTTTCCTTCGGAGGTACTTTTCGCTTGACTATAGGCGATGATTTATTTTTTCCAAAAGCTTCCAACCACTGATTTAACTAGAAAACATATATAACGGAAATATATGGAAATTTATGATGTAATTTAAGGAATTTTTTATCAAACCTTAAATTAGCCAAATTTCAAAACAGAAAATACTTAAAAATCATACTTTCGGTGAAATCTGCTGTTCATTCTTCTTTTCTTTTCCGACTACGAAATGTTCGGGAACTTGGTGATTTAGTACTTGCTGCAAAAAACAAACTTGTGGTTTTAATATATTTGTGATTGACATAATTTTCATGTAAATAAATTTCAGAGAAGGTCCGACTCAAAAACCTGAATGGGTAAAACCTATAAATTCTATAAAAATCTATAAATTCATCTGGTCATAGTGAAGTAAAATCCAGAAATAAATCAAATAAACTTACTTCAAAAATATCCAATAAATCATCTTTCTCTTGATTTGCCGATTCTTTATGATCACTAACAATCTCTCGCACATAAAATAGCAACGATTTAAATCCTTCTCGTTCTTTTTTGCTGATTGTTGAGAGATACTCTAAAACGTGAACTTATTATTGTGAATCATACAAAGTTCAAATTTGAATATGGTCAAACAAAGCTAAAATTTTTGGATCAAAAAATCCGTCATTTAATTCTAAAGTCATTGAAGTGACAACTTTTAATTTCAGTAATTTGTTCAATAATTTGTTAAAAATTTTTGAAAATTAAATTTGCAGAAGGAAACAAATAAAAGGGAAATAAAACTAACCGTCATTATATGTCAAACTGTTCTCTTCTGTTGTACTTGGCGACTTAATATGCTGGAAGGATTTCAACTAAAATTAAATTTCAGCAGTACTCATTTGTCATTTCATATACTTCCCTAACTCTTTTTCCTAATTAAAAAAAAAGTCATTTGCTTCCTTACCAATTATTGTACTTCGTTCAATTTCTATTTATATAACATAAATTAAATCCCATCATACTAAGACGGAAAACAACTCGTCAAATGCGTTGAACTTTCAAATGCTGTGGTCAAATAAGTAAAACAAAGAAATGAAAAAGTAAAGTGAACAAAAGCTTCAAAAAAAAAACCTTTACAGCTGAGTCCACTTCATTTTCTTTTATTTCTGCTGATATATTTGCTTCGCATGTGGCAACATCTTCATTCGCTTCTTTTTTTATACCTGAAGTAATCCTAACGTGACAACTAACCAGAAAAAGATAGAAACTGAAACAAAAATCAAACAAATTTAAAACGCGATAAAAACAGCCATGATACAGTATGCAAGGATTCATGCAATAACAAATGAAATAATTTTAGTTTTAAGCTTACCAGCTTCCTCTTTTAAAGCATTGTTATTGACTTTCTGATCATTGCTAACCGACACATCCTGAAACAATTAAATGAAGTCAAATTATTTGCTGAATGAAACGATCAAATAGTATTACCAAAAATTAAGTACTAAATAAACAATAAACAATTAAACAACAAATAAAAATAAATAGCTTTTGAATGGCATTAAAAAAAGTAAAAAAAATTTATATTAAAATTTATACAAAACGAAGAATTATAAATGTCCAGAAGCAATGGAAGCAATACTACTCGAAAACTTGAGGATAAGAAGATATATTTTAAATATTATATTGAGTAATTTGGGTATATAATACTGGGTAATTTCACAACTTTGATAAAGTACCTCGCTCGTTTTATTAATTTTGTAGATGCGGCCAGTTGCTTTCTTAATAATATTTTCTATCACATACCATACCATTTCCATGTAACTCGGATAGCGGTACTTTTCTTTAATCTGAAAGTAAACAACCATAACAGCAACAAATGGAATGATGAATCAGTCTATTAATTCAATTTACACACCACAAGAATGTTTTCAGAACGAATGACTCGTAACTGCATTGGAATAGAAAAGCTATGAAGAAAGTTTCCACCAAAAACTAAGCTGTCCTCGGGAGTAAACACAGCATGAATCCAGCCTGAAATATAAAAACATATAGCCAGTATAACAGTATTTATATCAAAATTTGTAAAATCTTCTAATAAAGCAGCGTGAAACAAAGAAGTACTTGCCTGATGGAATAATAAAGGTGTAACCCTCATATAACTCTATTCTCGCACATTTATCAACAAGATCACCGAAAAATGCTTCATGTTGCGATCCTTCTAATATCCACCTTTCATACTTCAGTATATTTTCTTCTGTAGGTTCAATAATCCAAAAAATCTAGAATGTAAAAATCCATAAGATATTACTAAAACTGTAAAGTGTTGGAAACTTTTAATGGACATACCTTTCTTCCTTTATAAACATGGTACCAAACTGATGTGCCACCGAAATCAATATGAAAGTCAGTGAACGATCTTTTAACACTCATTAGGCAGTAGCTGAAAGAAGTATGAAAACTTCTCTTGAAAATCAATCAATTATTAGTAATAAGTATGCAAACAAATGAGTAAATAAATAAACATATAAGGATAGAATTAAAGTATCTACACAAACTAAAACATACTTCTGTACTTTAGGAAAAGTAGATGGAGAGTTCCGTAAATTCTTTGGCCAGTAGAGTTCAACCCAGTCGATTTCTAGAGCAAGTGCTGGTCCTCGTACTTTTTTTGAGAGCGGTGTGAGCGAAAATTCAAGCGAAAGTAAATTAAGCAGATCTTTTCGTTCTGCCGGTGGGGACCTATTATAATAAGTGTTGAAAAACGTTAGACATAAATTTATATAAAGTCATTTTATAAGTAAACTGATGCTACAAAGATCAAGATGCGACAATTTCTAGAACTTACTCGTAATATTCAACGAAATCACTTAGCATCATTTGTCGGCTACCTTGTGTCATCACATCAACCACTTCAATCATACGATCACCAACTGCTTTTAACACACACCGTGCAGTGAAAGTCCCATCTTTTGGCATTCTAATAATTCATAACCTAGTTTAATTATCATCCCACAGAATAAAACATTTATCAAATACATAGGACATTTCTGACCACAAAGAAATTCTTACCATAAAAAAATTTCTAACAAAACCCAAATTTTAGTTTTTTAAATTTAATTGGAAGGAATATGTAATTTAAGAAAAGTGAAATGAAATGATTGCAAAAAATAATTAGAAACACTTATCAAAACATACTTCATTCCAAGTGAGCTCAATGAATCTCTGAACAGAAGAGGTTCTTCCAAACCGTTTTCTTGCACATATTCTATTGTAAAATCTAAAGGACTTATAAAATAACTCCTTTTTTGTAATAGAAATTGGAAAAACAATAAAGACGAGATGGTTAATTAAAAGTCGAATAATAACAAATAATGGTTTAATAATAAATGACTTCCATGTATATCAGAAATAACCCTAAACAAGAGGTTCATCACACTCACAGATAACTCAAAAGTCATTTAAAATCACTACTTCCTGACTTATAATAATTGTGAACAAAGCTCTGTACCGGAAGCATTCATTTCTCGACACATATTTTTAATTTCAAACTCCTTTTTTGCGAGCACCACATCTAGATCATATGTCCAAGGCCCACTAGCAAACTGTTGTTCCTCTTGGTCTTCAGTAATCTTATCTTGGTGGATGCTTTCGTCACTACTGAACCACTCCTCTTCTGAACTTGTTGATTGCGAACGTTTTCTCTAAAATCCTTTGCAATTAGTAAAAATACGGTCAGCAGTAGCGGAAATTCAGCATGAAAAGGAATTACAATTATTTCTAAATAATAATTTGAGAAATTAGTGTGAATAAAAGTGAAAAATAACGTTTGGAAGTGATAATGGTTCATTTAAGTGCAGAATACAAATAGCTAGAGCAAGCCACTTCAGAAATGAATCATTCCTTAATATGGTGCACATCTCAGAAATACTTTCTTTTTTTTTTTTTTTTCGGAAGGAATATGTCAATTCCAGAACATATTTTGGAGCATACTTTTCTCCCATTTTTTCGAGGAATCTTCTGCTTAGTTCCAAATGGCTCCAATTCGGTCATAAGTTTGACTAAATTACTAAATGTTTCTCCACTATCGCTAAAATCTGTAAATGATAGTTCATTATAACGAACAAGCAAAATGAAAATTAAATAGTAATATAGCATAATATTATCTAAAAACTTAAATATCAAATCCAGACATTCCCAAACTATTGTATGTGCTGCAATAATAAAATATACAAAAAAGTATTCGATGATTATGTCATCCCATCCTGACCTTAACAGATATAGAAGGAGCTTTACCAACCCATCACTAACCAACACAATTTATGCAACTCACAATTACATCAACAATGCCTCAGCGGCGTACTTCATTTCACACGTTGTAGCATGCAACTATTATGAAAACTGTTCGGACGAGAATGGAATGAAGATTTACTGTTGTGGATGAACAGAGGTGGTCGCCGAGTCAATTTCAGTGGTGGGGTATGATTAGGAAATGAGGGAGATAGCATTTGGTGAGGATTGAGAGTGATGAAGATAGTCTTGTTCAGCATGTGGGAGTGAAGAGATATAAGGCGAGGAAAGAGCACAGAGATTGGCAGCACTGTTAGGAGCAAGGACTGATAATTTAAAAGTGGCAATGAAGTGTCGTATGAATATTGGTACATAGAACTTTGATGGCAAAGTTAAAGTTCACCTAGCAATACTAGAAGTACCTGACTTGTACCTTAAGTATTTGGTAGACTTCTTAGTTTCCTTATTTTGCGTAATTCAGGTCGAAATTTTTGAAACTTTTATTGGTTGGATTTATAACTTTGTTTCGTGTAATCTTTCTGTTATGTGGAATGTGAAAGAGAACATGAAGAAGGGTGCAAGTCCTGTTAATGAACATATTCTTCCGAGTTTGGAAAATATTCTCCGCAAAATGATATTCCCCCCCTGTTTAAGAAAGATGTCGAAGCACATATATGCCATATTTTGACAAGCACATATTTCGACATCTTTCTTAATTTATCTCTTGCGGTGCTCCATCATGTAGTGTTTCAAAAGTCTTTTACTGCAAATAATCAGTTTTATTCAAATACTTTGTTGCCACAATCAGCTAACCGTATTTGCTTGCAGACTTCTAATTAATCTGCTTGGAGGCCATTTTGTTGCACTTCATAATTCATGTATTCCTACAATATGCTCAGGTTATGTAAACGGTAGGCTTGTTTGCTTGCTTGTATGCCAAACACTTCACATTACGATCAGATAAGAGATTATTTTTGAGAAAAAAGTAACTTAGAGAAGTTTCTTCTTGGGAGATACAGTATACTACACTTCATCTACTGCGATTTAAAGTAATAGTTCCGTGTCAAACTTCATTTATTCGGTGTTGACAGATATCTGAATTGCTTAGTTTTTTTTTTCTCATTTCATATTTCCTAATAACTTTTTGAAAAATTTTTCTGACTACTCACATGAGCAGTTGTTGCAGCGAATTGCTGTAATTGCTCAAGTTTTTGGCGAATAACTTGATCATTATAGAAAGCAGCATCAGGACTACCACCAGCTCTTTTCCGTTCCTCTAGATCGGTCAATAGTGTTGCCAATTGCGTCTGGAAAGCTGCAAATTCAGGAGCAATCGAGGTTGCACTTTTCTCAATTGTCTGCACTCGTTTTGCCACCAACTAAAATGGCATCTAAATGATTTGGAAGTATATCTGAATTAAAAACAAAATTTTCTAGTGATCAAATATTTTAACATTTTATATATTAAAGACCAGTTGCTTTCATATTTGTAAGCTTAAACGATGAAACAGACTTTAAACAAACATGTTGTTCATTGGAAAAAAAAATTCGTTGAAATCAGTCATTCTATAATTTTCATTCAATAAAAACGATAAATGATTTATGATATGATTTAATGCACGAGACAAACTTCTAATCGTTTTTGAGCTTCTCCTATCCACTCCTTATCAGTGATATATTTTGATGAAAATGACTTGGATACATCCTCTTTTGGTAATGTCTATAAAAGATAATGGTTTGGGTCATTTTCGGGAACAAGATATGATGCATAGTAAAGTTATTAAATATGAGAACTGTTATTTTTATCCATACTTGTGTAATTATGTCCCTCTGTACATTTATAGTTTCAGATCTTTTTTATTGTACTTATATTCTAAAACCTTTGCAAATGTGTTAGCATCAACTTTTGGAATGCTTGGTGGCAGCACTTGTCCGAAATTCATCTCCGCATATTTTTTCATTAAACATTGTATTGCCTCATTGATTATATTTTCCTAAAGTAATTCATTAAACATTTTTTCCACACAAATTTAGACTTTTGTTCGATCAAATGCTCTAATTTTCAATATTATATTTAACTAATAAAAAACTGTCAGTTTTTTTACGGTTTTCTGTGGTTCGTTTTCAATTCAAAATCATTATTTCGAATAACAATTTAAACTTTTAAATTTTGACATAATTATTTATTAACCACATTTCTGAAAGTAATTCGTTACTGAGATACTTTATGAGGTTGTAATTTGTTTGTGTTACCTCAAAAAGGGCTTTTTCCTCCAGATCTTTTCTCGATTGGTAAATAACAAATCGCAGCTCAGTCCGTACAACGTTTTCTTCTGGTTCAGTCCTTTGGATACGAATCATTTGCCGCGGTAACACTCTTCCTTTTGAATCCGCCGCATCTTCAGTGCTATAAGATTTTTACATCGCTAATATTGGTAATTGTATGAATTGATTAACTAATTAATACCCCATATGTATCTGTTTTAAAGATCTAGCATTAGCAGTTTAAAGAGTGGAAGACTTTAGAGAGTGGAAAAGAGAAAAGATATGTACTGAGCCCTAACGAATAAGATTGTTTGATTGCCAGTGAAACATCACTTATGTTTAACAGTGAATCGAGCATTATCAATATAGTTGCTACTCTTATTGTACTTATACAAATGCTGATAATAATTCAGCAAAGTGTCCAACAAATTAGGATTTTTGCATTATTTTAAATTGCAAACATTGAATGGGTGAAATTACCCTATGGTTCTCGATTGCTCAGCGTCATGTCCTGCACATGTCCTGAAAAAGATTCTATTCAAACTTAAAACTAAAATATCTGATGTATTTTCCTTTGACTAATAGATAAAAAGTTTTAATTCAAGTGTAATTAAGATTGCAGTTTTCCTCCAAGTTCAAGTTGGTAATGTTTCATAATTTCTAGCAAGACAATTTATGACCTCATTGATCTGTATAGAAGGCACAACCGTCTAATAAAGTTTTTAATGATAAAATTACGCAATGTGGGTGTTGTTGCTTCTTTTAGTTGGTTAATCTACCAAATGCTAAATTTCTTATTAAATTTTCGATGCATTCAGTCGATTATGAATCACCTGACAAGATGAAAAACAATGATTTTAGTACTTTATTGTTTTTTTTTTTTTTTTTTTTGTTGGTTACAAACGATCATATTGAGCATTCTTTTTCCTCTCTTAACGGTAACAATCTTGAACATCTTTATTTTATCTTGAGCACGCTCAGGAATTTTAAATCATCTGCATAGTACTTCTGAATGCACCTGTATTTTCGGAAGAAATAAATCAGCTTGATTTCTAGTCGTTTATTCATTTTTTGCACTAAATACATGCGTGTTTGCTGCCTGATGCTATAAGCACATGACGTTCATGCGCAGATTATTTCAAGTATTGCCTGAAGGCAGTAATACAAGAAATTAATCAAGAAAAGTAATACATTCAAAATAATTCATTACATGAAAATATTGCTTTAGGAGTCAAAGTTCTCAGAATTTTAAACAAGACTGAATTTTATTCAAAGTATTTATGACCTTTTAAAGGGACGTTGCAACTGATGAGGTCCCTGCTAATATTTACATGTATGTGTCCAGAATACAAAAAATATTCGTTATCATTATTAATCGAAGATGCATTAGTCAGTCACTAATTTTCTATATAGCAGCAGTCCTGCTATATAGAAAATTAATTATTTCAGCATATGTGATCGGAAGCGATTAGATGAACAAATTTTCCTACCTTTACTTCCTACCTTTACATACTCTTAGAATATCGGAATGATATCAAATATCTTAATACATGAGAAAAACAATGTTTTATACATGAAGTAAATACCCGCTATATGAAAAACAAATGAATATATTTTTGATATGACGTTAATAACAACTTTTCATTTAAAAGTTATAAATTTTTTGAAAAGTCTCAGGATTCAGATGAATGAAAGCAGTACCAGCATTATTCGTCCTGAGGCTTGAAATTTTTTAATTATTCTAAAAAGTATCTTTCGATGAGGCATCTGTCACTTATTTGATGGATTTGGAGCTAGGATTCATTGATCGGAGATTCACTGGAGTACAGCTTATACTCTCACATCGCAATACTTGATAGGAGTAGCTGGCCGAGTTGATTCATTTTCCAAAACATTCAATGTTCGGGTCTCCACATTAAATGTTATTGCGAATCCTGGTTTTATCTTGGCTTGCATTTCACGTTTCAGCCTTAACGTCGAATTATGCGAGCAGCGTGGAGGCTTCAAAAAATACATTAAATGAAGTAAATAGAAAACAGTACAATGCTCAGATGAGAATATGAATAAACTTATAATTTTCCCTTTTTAAAATTTGGAAAAGATCTTATGAAATCAAAAAAGAGAACTAACAATCATAGCCTTGCATGCATCATCGCTTTCCATATCACACAGTGATATTTGACATTGAAAGACAACATTCCCGTCTCCAGGGAATTTGAATACACTCATCTCTTTGAAAACATACGCATCATTTTTCCAATTCTTAGAAAATTTCGTGTAATCAGGAGTTTCCAGGAAATGTGGGTCTACTTCACATCTGAAAAAAAGATGGTAGTAGTACTTCAGTGTATTTCATGCTTTGTTTAAATGATAGACAACTGAAACTCTCCATCGGTGCTTACCCGTTGGAATCCACAATCAGTACATTTTTTGTTTCTGATTTAACAAAGCAGTCATGTATCAAGTAGTGATAATTTGACGCTGAAATAAACTGAAATTTATTTAAGAGATGGAAAAAAGTTTCAAGCGATTTTAATGATGTAACCAAAAAGACAATCTTAACAGTTCACGTCTGATCTCACAGATATGATATAATGTCATGACATTGCTCTCTCTTGCTAGAACGAATTTTCCTCCTATCTTACAGCAGTTTAATATTAAATTAATATTAAACAGTTCTTTTCTGCGGTTAGCAAGAACTAACTGCTGACTACATTGCAATTGCATAATTTATATTAAGACTACTAATTTTTGAATATGCTAGCAATTCTTAAGATTTGAATTTAGTATGAACTTACGACTATCACATTCCCATCTATGATATAACGATTCACCAACTTTAGCATCCAAAGAAACGCATTGATCAGGCGCAAATCGATGAAGTCGATATGTGCATTCGGTATCACTAAGCTTTTTAATTGATGAACGACCTACTTCTTGAGGTGGAAGTGGTTGTTGGTGGAAGCAGGATATACTCAAACCCTATAATTTTCATAAATCATTGTCAAAATAACTGGAATTTGCAATTATCACAATGGTTCATACTAGGTAATTCAAATAAATAAAACTATATTGAAACAATGCAAATTACCTGATCAGCTCTTGTCATGATAACCGGATGGAATTGCAATATGACAGTAATATTAAAAACATAACCAACATGTCGCTATAAATAAAAAATGAACAAAAATATCCCAAAAAAATTAAAAATCATTTTTTTTTTTGAAAAGATTAGGAATCTGTCTATGAAAAAAATTTGAGTATTTCAGTGGTAACAAGAAAAAGGAAATATACTGTAGCTGGTGTTTTAATAAGGCCACATGTGCCCTCGTAAAATGTGATCGAGATTTCCCTAGATGAGCCATCGGTTATCTGCAAAAAACAAATCATTTAATGAGCACATTAATTAATAATTCAAATCTAAATTTTTTGAAATTCAAACTTAAATTCGTAGCAGATGAGTACAGCATGTGCTTGATTATTTTCGCATTTTTACGGTATTCCAAATCGCAGAATTTCTATTCCGAAATCGGTTGTACAAAGAATCCATCATTTGAAGCAAACAACATAGAAGACTGATTCATCAATTGAATGAAATGACTTGCCTTAACACATTTCATATCATCGTGATACTGCTGTGCGTACATAAGGCCTGTCATTGGCCGTTGTGTTCGGACGGTGAATGTAAGGGAACCTCCGTCACAGCTGATATCAGTAGCGCCACGAATCCTTGGTTCCGGATCAAGTCCCAGATCTAAACCAATACAGCCGAAACCAATATATGGGAGAAATTTGATTTCGAAATCCTGAAACAGACGATGTCTTTGGGTGTACATGCAGAAGGCGATCCGTTCCATAGCTTATTCCGACTTCAGTCAGTAAATGTTTGGAATAAAATACAAAAAAAATTTGAACAATTATTATGCAAGATGATTAAATGTTATGTTGAATGTGATGGCCTAATACGTAAGTCTGACATTCCTCACTAAATAGTTTTACTGCTGAACGCTCTTTTATTTCTTTTATTTTCCCTAATTTAAGTAATCTGTTAGTTCTCACGCAAGTTCACCTGAATTCCATTTGGTTAGTTATTTAAGAATTAGAAAAATAAGAATTTCGTTAATTCACAGTACACTTAAGAACACTGCATGCATTAAAATTACATTTATACGTTGTTATCAGAACCTTTAAATTAACGGGCGTAAAAATGTGATCTGTGTTCTGTGTGATGCTTAGTAATTCGCCTTCATCTGCATATGGTGCTGGAGTCAACGTTATCGCAAAAATTTCCACGCCTTTATCTTTAAGACGTAACGCCATATCCTGAGGTGAACGTTGCGAGTGACCATCTGTGAATATGATAATCATCTTTTTGACTCCTTCACGTACTCCTAGAATAACTTGCACGTGTTTTCATTATCGCTTTCTTCAATTTATTTGAAAAATATAAATTTCAGAAAAGCAAAAGAAAAAAGTCGCACCATTTTCATTATCAGTATCCGTTAACAGTTTGTAAGCTTGATGTAAAGCGATATGTGTCGATGTGGTACCTTTAATTGATTTCAACCCATTTAAATGTCTTATTACCGATGTATTATTACCAATTTGTGGATCGTTAAACTTGAAATGGATATACGCTTGTCCAGAATAAGTAATCAAAGCTAACCTGCAAAAATTTATTCTAGTTCAGTCCGATTATTTTTGTTATAAATCAAGTTAAATTTCACTAATTTTATGCGTTAAATTTTCTTTTGTTGGAATGAAGCAATCATCGATATTTTAAATTTAGTACGAGAAAAATAAAAATAATCTTCTGTGTTAAATGTTGTCAACATTTCAAAAGTACAAGCAAGTTTGAAGATGGAATTTTGAGGAGTTGATAAGCGGTAATGAGAAAAGCTTAAAACACTGTCTAGACAGGTTGTTTTGTATTTATTGCTGAATGGCATCAGACTATTTCACCGGAAGAATATTCGACAGGGTGCAAACAAACAAGCAGTTGTGTGTCACATCGAATCACAAGTAAATGTCTCTGAATGCTTTACTACGTTCTGTTGTCAAGCGCTGTGTAACTCTCCCCGCTTTGCTGTTTGCTATCAAAAACAACATTTCTGGTAGTGAAACTCCGCGATGACATCTTTTTTCAATTATTATTCTCTTGCAAAAATGAAATTCTAATAAAAATTGAATAATTTTGAAGCAAATAATCGGTGATGGTTGGTGTGATTTGTTTACCACAATGTAATAAAATATTTCATTACTGAGTGATTCTTCAAGCGATCAACTACTTCAATAAATCGATATGTAGGAGAGGATGAAAATGTGTCACATAACCTACCTACCCGGCTCATGTCATCCCATGTCTGGAATCCGGGTAACATCAATTGTACAGCAAATTCCTCAATGAAATGCACGAGACGTATACCTTATCATCATCTTTTTCATTCAAGTAGGATAAAGACAAAAGGATGATACCAGAATAAGTTGAATTATACTTAAATACTTATCCTAGTAAGTACGGATACCCTACCATTGGGAGAGAACAGTAAAAAAGAATTACCTTACAGCATCTGGATGTACATTAATGTTTCGAACGATCCGTTCAACTGCAAATCTGATTTGTTCATCAAAAAGGTGAGCAACGGATTCGGAAGAGTCAATGATCAGAATTAAGTCAAGAGGTTTATCAGATCCACGGACACAAACTTAAATATATTATTTAATTTAAATAATTACATGATGATTTTTCCATCTATATGATCTTTGAAATTATTTGCACTTTTTAGAAACGTGAGTGAATACAGTCTAAAATCAGTAGAACTATACTTAAATACTGATTTCTGATAAATATCGATACCACTTGGTGAGACTATGAAGTTTAATTATTCATAAATTTTGGATGTAGTTTGTTCGAAACTAGTACTACTTTTCCCTTTCTTTTCTAATAAATATTTAAAATTAGATTAATCAGAGGTGCTTATATGTTATACTAGCGACATACCAGGTAATTTCTCGCAAACTTCAGTACCTCTCCAGCGATCAAACATTGGTTCTAAATCATCCAAGTTTTGATTTGTCACAATTTTCTTTGGATCCTGCAAGAAATAGCAGAAAATCTTGAAATTGTTTCTTAAAAAATTAAAAAGTTACTTTTTTAATGCAAAAGCTGAAACGGAGATTTTATTCATAAACTGCTTTTATTCTACAATTATTGTGCTGTTTATTAATTTATTTATAATTTTTACTTAATAGATCTAATCTAATTTCCAACTTAGAATTATTTATAGAAATGGAATATTTTGATACTTTACTTAATACACTATTTCATGTTGTAAAAAACAGTTGTAAAAACAGTTAACATTCATAAACGATACAGGAAGAAGTTAAATAGATATGCCTATTGAGTTGATATCCTATACCTTGGTAATAGCAAGCAATTCATTCATAGCAACGTATTCACCAGTTCCATAAGCGTAAATGTCAACATTGTCAATTTGTTGTCTCAATAGATCTGCCATTTCCGTATCTTTAGGATAGTCATGCGTTCGACCATCCGATAATAAATATATTATCTTCGGTATATCCGAAGGCCTCATTCCCTTAAATTTTACAGTGAACTTTTTTCAAATTTCCTTACAAATAAGATAATAATATAGAAATAGGATGCAATTAATACGATATAGTCATCGATTATATTTAGAAATCAAAAAGTCAAGATAATAAGTATTAGACCTAAATTAAATGTCAGCCAATTAAAGCATATATAGCGCTGGTTTGTTATTTGAGCATTACTGCCAAAGATATTTGCCCAATTTTTTTTTTCTCAAAATTTTCCGTTCCTTTTAAAATCAAAAGTAATGAAAATACGAGATACTGGTCTAAGTAAAAGTTAAGGAAAGATTTTTAAACTATGCATATTACATTTTCTTCATTCAGCATACTAAGAGTGTATTCAAATGCATCACCCAATCGTGTTATGCCTGATACATGCCTCAATACATCTAAAGCACCAAGAATATCTTCGCGATCCTTGAATTTCTTGAAATTAAACTCCAAATGTTGAACACCACTAAAAAATATTTTGCAAAATTTCTTAGCTTCTCATCTTGACCAAACTTTTGAAAACTTCTAGAAATTTTGAAGCTTAAAATCTGACTTTAAATTTTCTAATACTTCTGCAATATTTCCCTGTAAAAAAGCAATAAATAAGAATACAGATTAATTGAGCAGTAAACTTCTAAGATCCAAATATTATAACTAGTGAAAAGACCTGAATTGTATAAGCATGACCCGTGTAGCTGGTTCTCCGATAGTAACATGATTGACGATCCGGCGAATGATATCAATTTCGTCTTGAAATTTGTTCTTCAGCGAACCTGAACTGTCTAGCATAAATACCAAATCCAGCGGTTCTGCTTTGACAATACATCGAGCTGCATATTCAAATTGATTAAATCAATGGTAAAATTTATGATGTCCAGAAAAGAGTAAAGAATTCAATTCTGCATCAACAGCTACTTCTCGTTGAATGTTGATCTCTTCTGTTAAGAGCTCACTGTTATCATCAGCAATTTTCTTCTCACTCAATTTTCTTAAATTTTCCTAAAGACTGATGAACGGCAGTGAATCATAAAAGAAATATACAAAATAAATCTATGTCTTCTCCTTATTCATTCTTTTCTTTATTGAATAACTTTTATAAACTAAGCCCTAAGCCTGAAATCTACCTTTTAGGCTATCTCCTTGAATGATATTACAGCTAACCTTAATGTTATATTTTGTATTAATGTATTAATTTTTTAGCAATTTCTCTTGCAGTAATATCAGTTATCGGTGAATAACGGTGTCATTTCATTCAGTGTTTAATTATATCAAAAACTAGTTCCACATCTATTCGTTTTTACGATAGCACATTCACACAATTTAGAATCTCAAATGCCGTTGGCTGTTTTTCTAACATCTTCAAAAAGTGCCGCTCTCATACTCTTGCAAGTAATAATTATTGTAATTTGGAGCAATAATAGAAAGAATTAAATGCCTTTTTAGTTCCATTGAAATTAAACACTCCAAATTAGTTTGTTTAGATCAAAGGAGTAGAATAATATCATCAAGTCGATACAAATTTATCAAACTGATTTATTTTTGTACTTATGAGCTTAAATTAATTACTTGCTAATGTGAAACAATTAACATCTTATTGTATGATACCTGTAATTCGTTGAACCTTTAATTGTTATTATTTATCAAGACAAATATCCTTTAATCTTCCTTGTCGACTTATTTTCTTTGAAATTACTGTCCTAATTGAAAAATTAGAAAACGAACGTTTGGTTCTTATGGGTGAGTGGACAATTTCAGGTGGTGCTAAGCCATTGTTGATCACTTTGATTGAAGTAGTGATAACTGTGAGCTGATAAAACAGCAATATCAGCTGGACTTTATTCATTTGGATGACTGCTATAAAATCCATGCATTTGGATGACCAATGAATCACCAGCTCATGCAAACTGCGCACCATGTTGTTAGAATTATACAGAATCGATAAAGACATCAGGCGCAACGAATGGAAAGAAATGTAAGAAGGAAATTGTGTAGCATAAAATCCTTTGTTTACTTCTAAATTTCAAAACATATTTCCTTCTCACTTTTGTTTACAAAAATAGCGCTTTTTTCGGTTCTAATCAGTGAAAGTTATTTATTTTTCTTTAGATTGCTTAATAGGATTGGAACTTGATTGATCAGTGAAAATTTAGGGCGGTCATTAATGTCTTCATGTGAATAGATAACTGGTTGTTTTGATTCATGAAACACAACAAGTAGCAGCCCACGAGTCATTCTTGTTGACAGAAGTCTCAGTAAAGGAAGCATTCCACTTTCGTCTTTTAGGGGATGATATAGCAAGTCATTCAGCTAGTGGATGCTGTAAATCGACTAACTCATTCACTGCTATCCTAAGCCAAACCAATTTTTTGTTCATAGCCAAGAAAGAAAACAACAGAGCCAATCATTATTATGCAGTATGGGCGCAAAGAGATGAAACAATTCGTAATTGTACATCTGCAATAAAAGATTCAGATATATCGTTAGAATGAACCATCGTTGTATTCTTATTGCATGATAGTTTTAACACTTCCAATTGCACCTTTACTTCACTTTTCTTTGTCGATCGACATTCTTTTTCAACAATAAGTCAAGTAATTCTGGTTGCCTAAAGCAAACTTATAGCAGTGCAAAAAATGGCCTTTTTAGTAAAAAAGTTATTCTTGTGATATTATTCTCTAATGTATCGGGTGTTTAGATATAATTACTTCTCAATGAAGATCTTTTCCAGTGCTAGAAGTTTTCCAGTAAAAATTAATCATACTTAGATTCAATTAAATTTTGTTTATAACTCATATACGTAAGTATCTTTGCCGTACAAGTTGGGTAGTCCTAATGACTTCACATCTTTCCTTAGCGTGACCATGAACTTAGCATACTTGAAGTGACAGATATCACTATTACTCTAAAGCTTTCATAGTTTTTAAGAGAACGAAGGAAAGGCTGAAGATACTGGTAGTCTAAAGATTGCATAAAAAGTTAGAAAATGCGCAATATTATTGCTATGTCTCTCGGAAAAGTTTCGTCATTGCTTTCTCCACATTGCTGTCCTCAGATATTAGCAAGAAGCTTAAACCTTCGTATATTAATATGTCACACTGACCATTTCCTAGATTATGTAATTCAAAAATGGAATGATTTTGTTATTCAGTAATGACACATTAAAATGGAAGAGTTATTGATTGAAAAAAGAAAATGAAGTCATAGGATAAAAAAAAGATCCTGAAGAAAAAAAAAAAACAATATTTCAACAAGTTATTTAATCGATGATATGGATGACTGTACTACTTCCTTAGATTTTTCTTTGAATTCATTTTGATCTTTTCGAATCTAAAATTTGCAACGGACAAAATTCGAGGAGAGCGAACAGATAAGCAGAGATAAGTAGAGGTAAATATCTGAAGCGGTGCAAATTGATATCACTTTTTCTTCTTACTTATGTGTGTGATTACTTTGTAAAACTTGGGCAGATGAGAGAGTTGTACGGTTGAAACTTGATGAATTGTTATTGTAATAATTTGATTAAAATTGTTTCAAAGAAATAATTTGGAAAAAAAGTACTAGTATGGGTAAGTGACCGACGCATGGGTGTTGATCGAAATATTGTGAATAATTATGTGAGTTTCACTTTTCCAAAGGCATCAAGAAACCCATTCATTGCTGATGACAAACAATTTTTTGTACTGTCAATGATGAATAAGTTTCTTTCTTAGAATAAGGCTCACTGGTGATTATTTTCCTGATTTAGTTATTTTACGAAATTATCCTGAACAATAATTACTTCGCGAATGTCAGGCAGTCACATTAAATGAGCGAAATAGATTATTAATATATTAAATGACTAATTGCTATCAATAACCAATTTGTGAATAGATAGAAAAATTTATTTGTACACTACCGAAATTAGATAAATACTTGATAATTCGAAATGAAACAAACTGTCATAAATTTGGAAAGTATTCTTGTATCGACTGACAAACTTACTTGTTCACTACTTCGAGAATTGCAATGGATCCTGTTTTATGCTTTTTTAGTTTTAGTTTTTAACTATGATCTTGTCAGCCCCTACTAGATAGATGTTTGAATTGTTAATTAGAATCTCACATGTCAAAAAATTTTTGGTCTGATTCCGTTTACTAACGTATAGCATTACAGACAAAAAATTTACCAATACCATTTCTAAGCATGCCAATAAATAAGAGATATTTGTGAGAAAATATAAAATATAATTAGGATTAATTTAAAATCTCGAAAGTTCTTATATACCTCTAATCGATTCGATTAAGCAAAAGCAAAAAATCATAAAGTGATATGGGATAGAAATCCAGAAAATAATATAAAGGTGAACAGAATGATATGAAGGCAATCATGCCAGAACTTCATCCGAAGTATCATTTAAGTTCTAAGTGTAAAGTCTAATCCAGTTGTTAACTAATGTTTTGAAACCTTGTAAATTGGTCCTAATTAGGAATGCAAGAATCAGCAAAATAGTTTCCTTCGTGACTTCAATAGTCAGATAGAAGGAACATAAGAGAAAATTAATTTGCTCCTCCTTTATTGCATCCCTTACTTCGGAACCAAACACTTTCAGGCACTACAGAAACACACGAGCGGAGGAGTAATGCGCTTTACAGGAATAAAAATAGATGAAATTTGCGGAAAGGAACGGACGGTAGGACGAAGGATATATCTGTATATGTATTCGCAGTTGTGTAATGAAATTGGTTAATTGCATGAGGCGAAAAAAGCAATATATATATTTCCTCTTATATATTTGTTTATCACGCATCTGAATTTTTCTGGCGCCCTTACCACCGAACTCCGCCCCGCTTCGTTCTACCTATTCCGCCTACTTCACAATGTCATCTATCTTAGTAAAAATGTCCCGAAGAGGAGTTCTTAGGATGCGAAATACCTCGTCGGCATACCATTATAACATTCAGCTAGCTGCTTTCAATGCTATTTACATTTTCCAGTTTTTGAACAAGAATACTTACCAGTGAGAATCCGGAAATTTTAAAAGATGAAGCATCAAAAATCGAAATGAAAGAGCATTGTAAAATAAAAGAAGTGAATTTCTTTCTGGTTATAGAAACCATCCCGAAGGAATAATGTGCTTAGAAGTAAAAACGGAGAATATTGATCTCATTTTTCTTTAATCATTCAATCAATACTGATAGCTATCACATATTTCACATTTTACTTGTTGGCTTTTTTCTCCCAAACTGTTCTAATTCATTTCTGTTTATCAGCCTCACTTATCGATAAGATCATGAAACATTGCTTTCGCTCTTATAAGTAAATTCATAAAAGTTATTGTCACAAGATCATATATCACCTTTCTTTTGGCACTTCTTTACAAACAACGCAATATCCGAATGGTTATTAAACAAAGTTTTCTATTTCGAGTTTGCAAAATATCAACTCCTCAGTTACACATTGTTGAAATCAAATTTATAACTTTTTTTTTGTAAAAAAACGAAATCCATTCTTATGTGATTGATATTCTTAGTATTACTTTCACTCCATCTATCACACCAAAAATCTCACCCAAAACATAAATTATCACAGAAAAATTATCGATTTGAAAAAAGAGAGCAGGAAAATGTAAAAGGTTTTAAATGCACATAAAAAGAAGAAAATAAAATAATCATTATTTGAAAGTATTTTTAGCACAGTAAACTACCACTAAATGAATAGAAATTATTATAATATGTAAAATAATAATCTTCTCTTTCGTTTACTTCTTGTTCGCGGTTTCAGATGATCATACTTCTGCGACAACTTTTTTCCTTCGTTTTCTACTGTTTTTTTCAAATCCAGTTTTTCAATCTTATATTGAGTAGATTTTTTCTAAAAAGTCACAGCAAAACCGGATTATCTTCCAGATTTGATTTGTTTAAAAAAAAGAAACTAGTTATTTATTGAATGATAACAACAAGAATAAAAAAAAAAAAAACACTGAACTAGATTTGTTCATTTATAGCAGTTCATTCCGCGTTTCTTAACTTCAATTTTATCTATCTAACACAGCAGCAATAATAGCAAGGGTGTTTGTAGAGAAGACAAAATAATATTTAGATATCTTTTTCATTTCGACTCACATCAGGAATGTCATTGTTTCAATAAAAAAATCTCTAAATCGATAGTTCCTGATTAGTTTCATTTAGAAAAATATCCCTTAACAAAATTTAAAATTTTGTCCATTCAAATTTCCAGAACAAACTTCGACTTTGATAGCTGAAATCAATGCTTCAAATCAGATATGGTGACAAAAACTCCATATCTGGTAAAGGAAATGATAAATTTTAAACAACGCTTTCGAATTGGAAAGAAAACATTGTATTTTTTGAAAATTTAGATTTAGAATAATTCTTCTGGTATAATTGATTGTACTGTGATAGAAAATTGCTATATTTCAAAATTGAAATGACAATCAATCAGCAAATTAATATTCATATCTTAGTCTTAATCTTTAAAGTCTGATCGCATCCTTTTTTTCATTTTTCGTATTGTATGATTCTTTTCTCTTTGTTCAGCAAATATAAAAGTGAATTTCATACAAAATAGTTGCACTGTTTGTTAATAATTTTATTGTGAGCGTTATTTTATCCTTAATCGATTTAATTATTATATATTTGATATGTGCTTAACGGTTGAAATCATTTGATTACTAAGTCGCAATATCAGTTACTTTTTCATGGATGACCTCTTTATCAGGCAGATAAAATTACAATTGCATCCTTCGGTTAAGGCGACACTAGACATCATGTTTATGCTTAGCCAATGAGAAATTCGTTTAGAAATACTTTCAAGTCTTTTTTTTTTTTGAGAGAGAGAGCTTTCCAGAATTTGACGTCTTTCAAAATATTTCTTTTTTAACGTAAAAGTCTTTTTTTTAAGTCAAATCTTTTCTTTAACGTTTCTTTCAAAATTTTCCTTTTTCAACTTCTTTTTTAACGTTTTTTTTAAATTCTTACATTTCATGTGAGAATGTACTGTTTGCTGGTCTTGTTGAGGTGCTGGCGAAAAGTACTACCATTCGTGATTGTATTTCAGCAGAGTGCTACCATTCGATAGTTTCCCACAAAAGATATCGATGTTCTTGTAGAGTGGTAACTAATGACAGTAGATCACCGGCAATTACAAACAGTACCGCTAAATGTTTGCATCGATTTAAAACAAAATCTAAGAATAAGTGATCAGTCGGTTTCGTTATCCCGCACTGGCTTCACAAGCAAATCAGAGGAAAACTGTGCTATGGTGATATTCGTTTTCACAAACTACCATCATTAAATAATTTAAAATGGCAGCCATTATTTAAGATGTTTAAATTCAAACATCCTTCAATTAATCTAAACTGTTACTCAAAAACATTTATAATTGCTTGCGGGTCTGAAATATTCCGGATTAGACTGAACGACTTCTGAATGATAATGCTCAGGAAAGTTCTCAATCGGTTTCGCTACCGTCAACATCAACGCATCCAGATTCGGCATGGCAACGTAAACTGAATGCTTATGTGGCATCTTCACATCAAGAAATACTGAATGATGATGACTTTAATCAGAATTTGAAACGAGCTCTGGAAGCTATCGAAGCTGGCATACAACCAATACGAATTGCAGCTGGAAGTTCCGGTAAAAGTCTTGAAAACTGTTCCACTTTATAATTCTCTTATAGTTTTCTAAAATGTTCTTTGATTCATACCGTGACTTGATGAAGTTCCAAAACTTCAAAATCTTAGTGCTAGTACTATCCAGAAATGGCTTAATAAGTTCAAGTTTATCACAGAGATCATGTTTCCATTTCAGGATCATATTTTGTACGTGATATCAATTATCAAAACATAGCAGTATTTAAACCGAAAGACGAGGAACCATTTGCACCACAAAATCCTAAATGGCCGAAGTATTTTCAGCGTATGCTTTGTTTTTGCTGTTTTGGAAGAGCATGTCTTATACCAAACAATGGTTATATATCAGAAACTGCTGCTTCTCTTGTTGATGAGAAATTCCAAGTAATTTTTAGTGTTTTATTTTAAACATGATTTTGTTGCTCATTCAGGAAGAGTTTCCGAAAATCCTTATAATTGTTTTTGGAGCAATCTCCCGGATACATTCACATATTGTTCGTTTTTGTATTTATTTAGTAGACGACATCAAAAACAACGTAATCATTACTGATCAGAACTGCAATACTCGCGAATGAACTTTCCATTTATTTGATAATCTCTCTCACAGTAATTTGTACATCGTTTGAGACAGTTTCACCGGTCATAAGATCGTAACGACTTCCTCATTACGGATCTCGCTATAAAGACTGATTTGTCAACGAATTTTTTATTTTGAACTGGTTAATAATTTAATAACTGCAGTGAAAAATGTTACAGCTTCATATAGTACCGAAAACACGAGTTGTAAAACTTGCTTCACCTGCATTCTATTACAAAAATGGATCAAGCGCTAAAAGCAAAGGACCAAAGGGAAAAGATGGCAGTTATCAAGTATATCAATTTCACTCATGATTTTCCATGATATTGGAAATACTTTCCTGTTAACCAGTGCTTCTTGCCTATACTGATTCGTTTGTTAATCGAATGAATTCTAAAAATTGTTAGACGAGTGCGACCGCAAACAAATGTTTGCTCATTCAAAGACTTCCGTGAAATTAAACTCAGCAAATGGAAAGGAGGTATTGTATTTAGTGATTTAAAAGATGAAATTGATTTATTTATAGATTGAAAAGTTTATCGCATTGCAGCTATTCCTGAATGGATATGTAAATGCCTCCAATATTATACCGCGGTGGAACAAGGGCGGTGGATTATGTCCATTGACAGCGGCGGAAGTTGAACGATTCAAATATCTATTTCAGAAACTGTGCATTCTTGATTATGTTATTCGCAATACAGATCGCCATATGGAGAACTGGCTCATTAAGTATGATTTGAATAATGCCTAAACGCCATGGTCACATCCTTTTTGCTCTCAGTAATACTACAAAAACATAAGATGCTAAAAAGAATTTCGAAAAAGCTTTTTCAGAATTCTTTCCTTGAAGTTCTTTTATATCTTTTCACTTTCATTTTTTGAGAAAATAATTGTTGTTTAAATGATATAAATAATTACTTAAGCAGATATGAACCAGGAAAAGTATTGGAACTTGCTGCTATCGATAATGGATTGGCATTTCCAGTGAAACATCCCGAGACATCCAGTCGTTTACGACAATTTCCATTTGCTTGGGCACAATTGTCTTGGGCTAATCATGTTAGAATCTTCTTAAGTGTTTGTGATAGTCTAAATGAAAGGAGTTAACTTTGCATGAACATTAATGAGGAGCTTTTTGATTCAATATTGTTATTGCTATTGCTGATAGTAATAGTGACTGATCCAATTTTATGTCAACAATATGAAACGATCAGTTTTGTCTGATTTATAGCCGTGGAATGAAGAATTACGAACATTTCTACTCCAATTGCTAACACCACAATTCGTGCAAAGCTTATGCGATGATATTACTACCTTATTCAAGTATGACCGTGATGTGAATCGCTTTTTAAAGTACAGCCAGTTGCGGGTATTAAGAGGCCAGGTTTATATATCACATCTTTTATTATATTTTAGTATAGTGAGCTAACCAAACAAAACCAACTTTTCATCTTTCTAACAGTTTCTATGAAATAGTTACCTCAAACTACTTAAATCTGAGAGTAGTTGAGACAAAATCTTTACATTGTTATGAACCTTAACATTAATATTATTCAAAAAGCTTAGGAAAATGAAAAATTATGCTAACCTCAGAAATGATTTATCAGAAGGGAATAACAGGCAAAAAATAAAGAGAGATTATATAATATAAACTGTTTTATTATATTAAAAATGAAGTGGCATAAGACTCATCAAAGTACTAAAGCTAATATATCATTAAGGCTATACTACATTTTAGATTTGGAATTTACGATTAGCTTTAATGATGAAGGAGTCACCAGCAGAGATGGTGAAACGACCACTAGTTCTTGTTTCACGGCGTTTTCGTCGCCACCCACCTAATGATGATTGGAATCGAGCATTTCGAGTGAAACCAGTTGAATTTGGTAACCGAAGGTGTTGCTAATTACAGTTACACTAAACAATCCTGCCAATTTTTAGTTATTATCGTCACAAGAATATTTACAGTGTTTATTTGTTCCATAATTATATATGGGTTATAAAAATTAAAAAAAAAAAAATAGGTGTTTACCTTACTCCCTCGAAGTTAAGCGCTTACTAATACAATTGCCATTTATTTCTGTATTTTGAAATTTGGTGAGAGACGACCGGTTCAAAAAAACAGTTCAGATCAATAGATGATAATGACCATTAGCTATAAGAGGCGAAAAATCAATTCCTAAAATATTAACGTATTGTGGAACTCGAGATTGCTTCAAATTTATTCCGTCTGATAATTACACAAATGCAACCAATAAGAAATCAGTTTAAAAAATAGGTAATTTATGATGACGCGGCTAAACAGTGTGAATAATGACAAATATGATTTTAAAGTTTGATTTAAACTGGCGGATTAAAAAAAATCTCTTGCAAAATACAAAATTAGAAAGTAATGAATAACAGTAAAATAAATTCATTAATTTTTTTAACTTTCAAAAGTTTGACAATCATCAAACGAATTCCCACTCGAGTACATATTTACAGTAAAGTAAGATAAGTAGAATGAAGAAAGTTTAAAAGCAACTGACCGAGAAAATGGCAATGATCATAAATTGGCAGGTTTACAATGTTTGGAAGTAACATTGGCCAGTAATAAAATTAGCAAAACAAGAGAGAGAATGAAAATAAAAATGTATTTTCATCGATATTTATATCGATGCAGCACTAGATCTACTATTTAGCTAATCACCTAAACTGTGAGAAAAGAGCTGTAACAATAAAGAATTCCAGAAGCAATAATATGCATTTCCAGAGTCTGGGACTATAATCCCTAGAACTTACAAAACCATTATTTGTGCTGTATAGTGTCACACACACACACACACACACACACACACACACACACACACACACACACACACACACACACACACACACACACACACACACACACACACACACACACACACACACACACACACACACACACACTAACGAAAAATTCAAACTGTAGATGAGAATTCAAGAGTGAACTATTGAATGTAATTCACGCTAAGAAAAAGAGCATTTAGTGGACGACGAATTGAATATCAAATAAATGCCATCATCAAATGGGATATGTTGCAAATTTCAATAATGTTTTTCAGAAATATTTTTCTTTATATGAAAACTTAATTGATGAATTACGATACTATGTTATTTCTTCCAATCCATTACAATAACTTACATTTTACCAAAAATTTAATCGAACTCTGTGAGCAAAATAACGGAATAAAAATACGTAGAATGGCAACATTATAAAAAGACAAAAGACATGAAAGTTGTGAGTATAAAGTTCAAAGGGATCAATAAATCAAAGGATAATTCAAGATACCGCTATTACAGTCTTCTTTATCGGATTGAAATCGGTAAGATCCGATAAACAGAAGAAAAATGAATTAGCTATTTTGAAAAACAATTAAAAATATTGTATTTTAAACTAAGAATATTATTTAAAAAAGTTCCTCTCTAAAAAATGGCACTAAGCGGTGACTTCCCCAACAGGATACTTATTGATGACCCGTGATTTCAGCACACCATTTTCAATCACTTCAATGGTTTCTTTACCTTCTGCTTCTACCCTGCAATTTGACATTATTAAATTAATTAAAACTCAAAAAGATCAATGAAAACGTCAATTGATAACGGTACTGTTCTGATTATTTTGGATGCAATTGAGCAACACAACTAAAAGAGATACATTTGGTTTCATATCTGTAAAACACGAACATAAATGTCAGAGAGCGGAATTGCTAAATGAAAAGATGTGATCAAACTCCTATGCAAATGATATGGTCAGATCAAAGTGCACAAATTAAAAATGTCCTCTAAAGTAGCAGTCAAATCCTGCAAGGTTCGTATGATAAGAGTGAATTTGAGGTTTTCAGAAATTAGGAAAAAATTAGGAAGGTAACCTTTTGGTAACAATTTTGACTCCATCAATTATTTTCGTACTTGTTGTTGTTTTACGACTGGAGGCATTCTTTCCTGGCTCAGCAGATGAGAACTGTATTACTGATGAAAAACTACTGAAAGCTGAAGTTGAAAAAAATTCGGTTCATTTTTGAAAACACTAATCCTAAACAGCTGCCTAAAAAAAGTTCATTAGTTGTCACTTACGCTTAAGTATTTTAGACGTTTAAGACTTTAAATATTTAAAGTGATATCAATAATAGACGATTTAAAGACTAATGTTAAACCTAATTCCGACAAAAAGATCTCTGATGTAGGTGAAGAAAAAATGAGCTGTCATATCTCATATTTAAAACAGAAATTTTATAAGAAGTTTATTAACCAGTCATTTTCATTGATAAGTTCATTATTTTTATCACCAGAAAAGGCACTGTTGTTAAATCGTTTTTCATGACTTCCTGAAAAATTTCTAAATAACGACTCCTAAAAAATTGAAATTCGTTGCAGTTTAACAGAAATTAGACTTATAAAAAAGTTAACGAACCCGCTCTCCTGTAAAATGAATCAACGCTGTCGGATCTATTTCGAAAAAAGAACGGTGAAAAAGATTTGCCATCTACCATGAAATCCTGAAATATCATTGCACCGTTACAACTGAGGAAAAAGATGTTCACAAAAGAATTCGAAATGAAAGTTATAACCGACAATTCAAGACAACAAATTAATGAAGCTTACATCAAACAGGTCTTTTTGGCTAAAAAATTCCTGGAAGATATCGAAAGGTGAGCGAAATCGATGATGAAAAACATTATGTGACTGCCTATTGTGACGCTGTGAATCAGTCAAACGTAAGCGATCATACGAGTTGCGCTTTTTTGCTGTAAAATGGATCACAGAAAATATATGATCATTACCATAGGAGTTTATAAAGGTAACAGAGGGACAAAAGTTCAAGGATGTTAGGACTGAGTGAATGTTAAATATAGTGTCATTTGTTACTGTAGATGACATAACTAAAACAGGACAGCAGTCCATACCGAACCTCCTAAAAAAAATTCACGATGTTGACCATTTCAATGAATCTGCTCATTAGATCGCCTATGATCGTTTTAAAATATTGAAGAAAATCAAAAGAGTAAGACAAAGACAGTAGTAGTGCAGTAAACAGCTAATTAGTAAAATTTACTTTGCTATATATCCGTTCTGATTGCTTTAAACTTTAACAGTTGTAATCTATTTATGTATTTTTTTTTCTTACTCTTTAATTTTTATATCATTTAGGGAAACTTACGATCTGATAATACTTCATATGCTTGAGTTATACGCTTGAATTTTTGTTCTGCAACTTCATTATTGCTCGGATTTTTGTCAGGATGCCATTGTAATGCTAATTTACGGTACCTATAATAGATACTCGATTTCATTTTTTTCTAAATTTAAAACATACTGTCACTAGTACACCAATTTCCCTTCAAGTAGTTTAAACAAGTCTACCAACGCAATCTTAGTTCTCTTTTTATTCCTGAACTTTATATGCATATTTAAGAAACAGTTCAATTCAGTTGAACTTATTAACAAATATATGCTTTGTAATTGAAATTTGAAGTAGAATTTAAGCTCAGAATCCACTAAAATCCAAAACAATGCTTATAATATAATGCTGTATTGATCAAATGCTCATAGAAATTTCATCTTTTTCATAAATTTTGATGATGGATATTTTGACCCTCCAAGGTCAAAAATGTCTTGCTTACCCATTATCTGCTGCAGTAGGAATTACAGCTGCTGTTATCAACCTGATATTGCTAATTGTGAATGTAACCAAAAAACATTAATAAATTGGATCATTTAAGTTTGTTCAATAAAACTTAAGCTGAAGTGCAGCCTTTGTATTGTCGAAACTTGAAATAACGAATTCTCATTTCTCTTACCAAGCTGGTGAATTCCCGAAAACATAAATAAAATAAAATAAAAAAAAAAAAAAAAAAACATAAAAAGTAGTGATGAAAAATGTTTCGAAAACTTTCAATTTTAAAAGCTTATTTCAATTTTCACCTTTTTCTTCCTTTCATCTCTTTCGCATCATCTCTTCTCACAGTTACTTTGCTTATAGTTGTTGGTATGTCATATGAATCATCCAGATATACTTAATATTCAACCAAGAAATAAAGTTTATTTAACTAATAATAATATTACAGAGCAAGAAAGCATGAAACTAATTCTTTGTCCGAGAAGTTAGAGTATAAAAAATATTTTTTACTGGCAAGTTAGTGAAAAATATAAAGGATGAGACTATTTGTACAGCATATAAGAAGGAAGATCATTTGACCATTAAATACAATCTTTCAAGATGGTGCTAAAATTTCACCGAATGCAAACTAAATCATAATAACTTATTTGGAAATATTTGGAAATTTCGAACATTTCTTACTTGCTTTGAAAAAAGTAGAGGAAAAAATTCCTACCATAATGAGTATCGGTAAAATCTAGCTCGGACAGTTTTAAAGCAGTGGCGCAACTGCATGCAAATTCTTTAAACATAGTTTGTAAAATTACTTCGTTAGATAATAACCGATTGAATAACAAAAAAAAATTCAACCTGATGTGGGTATCGGCTACCGTAAACCAGTCTAATTAATTTATAAAGACAGTTGTCTGGAAAAATAGAGAAAAAAGCTAATATAACAGATAAAACATACGCTTTTCGGATAGCAGTATCGTCAGCATTCCATGGTACTCCAAGAACGTTATAAAAACAACTGGAACTATTATACAAATCATCATGGGAGCCTGAATTCGGAGCTGCTCCTGTGCCTAGACCCATCAAGCTATTTTTGCAGCAAAAACCCTACATACGTCTAATCCATCACTGGTCCAGCACTGCAGCAACTACTTTTTGGTCTCCTCTTCCAAGTATGATACTGCAACAACTTCTTTTTCACATGGATCGCGCAGACAATAAAACGCTGAACGAATGATTCAGACTTTGTCGTTACAGAGAAAACATCTGTACCAAACAGATTCCATTTCCTTATTAATGACATTTCGACAAATAATTTTAATATCTAATTTAAAAGAAATTTCCCCAAGTTCCTAGTCGAACATGTACATTTTGAATATCTGACATGTATCGCTATCAAATGGTTATGAAATGAAAAAATTATGGGTTATAAATAGAAAAATCTGCCATGAAATTAAAACTATAAAGTGATGATAAACTATGGTTCAAATAAAAACAAACTGAAAATTAAGCATAAGGGATGTGTCAATCAATGATGAAAATTGTTGAAAACTTGTCATAATATTTCGTCAAACACCACTACCACTTATGATACCTTCTGCCAACTTGCCTTACCTCAATTCTGAGATAAAGCAAAATTAACATAACTGCAGAATCAGCTGAAAAAATTTATGCCAAACTTTGGCAAACATTCAGAATTTATTTTCGTTCTGGCCGCATGCCTTTTTGATAATATAACAGAAAAATTAAGGTAAACCTGAAATGTTATAATTTGTACTTAAATGAAAACGCTTCGATACGTTACGCAATATGTCATTTGTCTACTTAAACATTATCTGTTGCTCGGACTTTTTCCGTCGATGTTTTCTTCGTCCATAGAACTCTTCAACTACTGAAAATCGATAATTTAATTGAATGGCGTACTTGACATTACCACTCAAATAAAAATTTTTGCATGAATGATAAGTTAATTACATTTCTGGAAATGGAAAATGTAGCGGAAATTAATATCATAGCTTATCAGAAAGACTATTCAAATGGAATAAACATTTCCATTCGAGAAGCTTAAGCACTAAGACTATGGCATTTAGTTTGATGCCTTGAAAAATCAGTCTTACTCAAATGTAAAAGTCTTATTATGAAAAGAGATATAAATGATATACAATATTCCTATCAATAACCTACAAGGGGAAAATTAGGGAGAAACGCATAATCCTACTTTACTAAAAAAAAAAGAGATGATAGAATTCGCTTAAAAAAGTGTGGAATGTTTACGAGTAAATTCTGAAAAATTAAATAGTAGAGAGTTTGATTTTAAATTCTCGATGCGTTATAAGAAATTCTGAAGGCTCTGTAGACTAAAGAGACAAGAGACAAGACAAACACATCATGACATTCGTAAGATAAAAGTTTTTTTAATGCATGTACTCCTAATTTCTGGTGTGGAAAAATTGAAATTTTGCCTTTCCTAGGGATGTAAATTGGTACTGAAGCAATTAGATATTACAATTTAAAAATTCCAAACTTTTTTGGTATGAAATACGTTAAGTACTGCTTTAGAGCTGATACAAGTTCAGACACTCTCTATTCGGTTATTCTAGCTGTTTATGCTAATCAGATTATTAAATTGGATCAAAAGAAGGAAAAGTACAATAAGTGTTGTCGTTGTTGTTGTAAGAGGGAAATAAAGGAGAAGAAATGATGAAAATTATGGCTGGAAAGTGTTCTGAAAATGATAGCTGCAAAGACACAAATGAGGAAGAAAATGGATGAGTGGGGAGGATGAGAGCACTTGTTGACTCTTTTATTTTTAACTGAGGTTTAAATAAGCCAGCAGTGAAATGAATGTCTGGATTGTCTGTAATGATTCCTTAGATCATCCAGACAAATAACACGATTGATTGACACTATCACTGCTCTAATAGAATCCTCATCAACGATCAGCGATCAATGGCGTTGTTGTAGTAGCACTGTATTAAGAGAAATATATCAACATTCTTATTATTATGACTGCTGTGCTGCCGCTATGCGCATCTTACATATTTTTTTTGGTGCTTTGTTGAAGAGGGCCAACAAGGGAGATCGATCATTATAAATCATTTTCACCGGACCTAATGTACCCTCAGTATTTTATTTTTAATAGAATTTATCAATTTTATTTGTAATAAAATTTAATCTAGCCTTCTCTTTTCCATTATTCTTGGCTTAAATTGACCACTGCTAAGGTATTCGCTACGAAACAAAAACTGGGAAGTTTGCAAGTGTGCAAGCAAGAAACCTTTTATTTACAATTCCTAGTTTCAAACTGTCAGTTTATTAAATTAGAAAAACTATTTCAGAAAGATATGACTTTATTTTTCTTCCTTCTTAAATTTTAAACCTAGATGAAAATAGTATTTAATGATTCATTGCTTTATTGTTTCATTAATATATATTTTATGTTCGTACTTTCAAATTATTTCTTCCTGCTGTTTTGATAAGTTTTGTCTTTAGTTTTTGTCCAGATAAGCAACATATGACAAGAAAGAAGAAAGTTAAACTGACGATTTCTTGCCATATCAAACGTTCTTTACGTCTGTCGCTTGGATCAACATAACATGAAAAGGAGTGAAAAAGATAGGGGTGGAAATTAAACACATACAGAGCACACAACACCTTACATGTGAATATGATATCCCGGAAATGTATCATGGGAACATAAGTCAAATGTAACAATTACACCGACATTAATATATGAACCTTGATCATAACGAAACAACTTGGCTACAAAATTATTAAACCAAATTTAGTAATAGGAAAATATACTAAAATGAAAAGAAAGGCTCGCACTGAAATTCTCAATGTTTCATCACAACCATGGAAGCAATGACTAAGTGTTGCTGTAAGGTAAAATAAGATAGGGAAAGGAATTTAAATATCCCGAAATAATAAAAATTTAGACAAGGATAACTAATGAATGAAGCATATTTTGATATTAAAAAAGTCGTGGCATTTTGATGAAATTATTAGAAAGAAGTATAAATACAAAGGTTAGAATAAAATGAAGTGATGGATGTATTAATGTAAGCACGAGCATGTAAGGGCAGAAAAAATACGCAGACTTGGCTGACAGATGACAGATGACAATCTGGAATAAAAAAGTTTAACATTACACAAAAAGCCACAAGTAATAGAGACCAATAATAATAAGTTGATATGTTACTTACGCTTCATCAATATAGGAACAGTCTCTAGTCCTCAGAATACAATACCAAGGAAAGAGAAAGAGCCAAAGAATATTGACTGAATAGCAATAATAATGAAGAATTATGTTTGTAGCATGGACAGGTTACACGAAGTGCAACTTCATGATAATTTTGAGAGGATAAAAAAGATGACATAACACTTAAACGGTTAGCACACTAATGCATATGAAATCTTTATGGTGTAAGCAAAATCAATCATTGAAATCATATACTTTTGAGAGCAACAGACATGAAAGGAAATTATAATACACTAATAGTGTAATTCAACAGGATAAAAGAGCATATTCGAGAGTAGGATTGCATAAAATACAGGGAAGGGAGGATGAATGATATGAGTACCTTGACTGAATATTGACAACGGTTCGAGAAACACTAAAATGAAAAAGGAGTGATGACATTAGTTATGAGATCATTGACAATTCCATTTAATACTGATACCATTTCATACAGTGGTAATATCGATCTACTACATTTATTTCCGACAAATGGTAGAAAAGGTTCATTGCAGTGAAAAACGAGTTATTCAATAATGGTGGTATCAATGTAAAGAACAAATTATACTTCAAATTCGTAATAGAATATCACTTCGCAAGACCGAAACAAGGGATAAATGCAGGAGAATAATATTAATTAATAAGTTAAAAGTTTGGACAGTATCTGAAAAACGCTATATAAAACATAGTTATAGTTAAGAGCAACCACCGAAAAGAAATAATGACACAATAGGAGAGAACGATAAATAGAGATTATATCAAAACAAAAAGAAAGTTAACAAGACATCAAAATTACGCAATGTGTAAACCAGTTTAATACAAACAATCAAACTGTTTGCTGCTGTGATAGTGCTTAAACCAGTAAAAGAATGCAAGGTGAAGATGAGATTTATTTTGGAGTTTCGAAATATAAAATGATAAGTTAAGAAACTAGAGCATAACATTAGCACTGTTTGATGTTACTACAACAGGGAATGAAAAATGAAAAAGAATATGATGGGATAAAATTCAAGTCAATTAATTATGGGAGATGATGCAATACCAAAAGGACTAGGAAAATAACTGATTCAACATAAAATATTGTGAACTGTACGTAGATGTTTTATTAGTGATGGCAACAATATAATAAATAGCAATAAGAAATCATAATGGTTAATAAGTAACAATTACAACAACATTAGCGATAACAGTCATGGTAACGCTAATAATATACAGTAGCAGTAGTATTACTTTACACCTGCACTCAGCACTGAATTGCTTGTGATACCTGTTATTAGAAATGAAAACAATTTAATCGATGACTAGCGTATAGCTTGAGTACTTCCGATCTCACCGACTGCTGGCAATCCATTTATTCACTCTCCTAATAAGCTGTCAACCTTAAAAAGGTCGACTGTTCTCTTTCTGCATTATCTGAAGTTGCATTTGTATGTATAAATAATATATATGAGGAGTTTGATAAAAAGGACAACAACAACATATGATGTGATGAAGAGTGACTAAAATTGTTATTACTTGCTATGAATTACCGCCAAAATGGTTCTTCAATTCCAGTAAAACTGCTGAGCAAAGACAGAGAGGAAATGACCTTTTGGAAATGTTTGTAAAAAATGAACACCAAGGAATAGGACAAACTCTGTCAGAGAAGAATATAACGACAATTTGTGACAAGTGTCATTAACAGGGCCAAGGAAGGCGGAACACATGGAAAAACTAAACGCATCATCAAATTTTTGCGCTACTACGGTATTTGCAGAGTTGAATAAACTAAACATTCAAAATCACAAGAACCAAACGCAATTAATCGACAGTTATTAATTTAATACAGTTTCTTAATATTAATTAT